TTCCTGGAGACTACTGGATCGCCCCAAGAGAGTACACAGTACACACAATCATACTCCCAGTCTGCTGCAGTCAAACACTTGCAAGCATGCACAGTTGAGAAATTCATTTTTTTCCCTTCATTGCTCGCTCGCTCTTTCTCCCGTTACCTCGCACAGACTCACAAACATACACTGAATGTTAACACCTTTGTCTGACTTTGTCTTCCTCCTTCATTGTTTCACAAGCTGTTTTCTGAGGCGGACTGCTGGATTTAGCAGTTTAGCAAAGGACCAGGGAATTGAGAAATACTTTAGAGGGATACCTTCCTGTGAGTTGCAGTAATGTTTAATTAAAACAGTTAACAATATAAAGGGCATATTTAATAAAAAAAGTTACATTTTTTGCAGCCCAACGTCAATATGACAACGGCTCTCTGTCTTTTTCCCAAAAACTTTTGACTCTTGCTAAGAACACTTAAATTGCTTTTGATTAGCAATCCGCACCATGAACTCGGTGGATGCCGGATTTCTTTAACATCAACTGTCAATGTTTCCTCATGATAAAACCGTACCCTAAGGCTGTGAATCGTGTCAGTTAGAAAGTTCTTTGAAAAGCGTGCCACTGTAGTCAACCAACTCTGATTCATTTACAATGACCGGCCAAAGTTTTATCCATCGCATCAATAGGATAAATAATGCTGTGAGGAACATATTTTTAAATGCAGAGTATAGCTTTCACAAAGTAATCTATTTTTTTTTCCGTCATCAGAAGAACTGGGTATTCCCCAGACACATTTGATTGATTTGATTAGAAAGTAACTACAGCCGGAATTAAGTAGGTAAACATTTTTGGCCCAATCTGCAATTTGACCTTATCTATTGACATATATGAGGTTTTTAAGTTAACGATGAAATGTTTCACACAAATGCTCAGACTCCAATATTGCTCTGTGTCAACTATGCTTTGACGTTTTGACCGACAACTTTTTCTCACCGACCTGTGTTCTATACCTGGAATTCTATAAATGAGGGTGACTGAAAAGGCAGAAGTGTACTGTAAATCAGTTGTAGAAGAGGGGAGCTACATCATCAAGCCGTTCTGACCTTTCCACTTAGTTACAGCTATAATTACTTTTTAATTAACTGCTCTTTCCATCCATTTACCAAGTGAATACACAGCACTTTAAACAACTGTAAAATGAAGTGTTATCTTTGAACTTAACTTCACAACGAGATCATAGAGGCATATTACACGGATTTACAGAAGAAATGTTCAATTAGACCCAAGGGTCACAGATGTGCTTAAGCTCCCCAGCTATTTTCTTTATTTGTTGAAGGCTTCTTTGCTTATGTCTTTAAGGAGATGCAATGATGCAGGGTTGGCAGTTTCCCTGGTGATCTCACCAATTTTGTGATCACATACATCCCCACTGATGAAGTACCTTCTCAATGCAGAGCTATTTAGTTCCCTTGGGAAATAAGCTGTGTTCAAGCTTTTTCTCTGCCAGATCTGTCACCAGTGTGCTCACTTTCATTGTGATTTCTCCTTATTGTATACAAATCAATTCAAGTGAGGTAGAGAGAATGAGTAGCTTATGTGTCTATGTGTTAGTGTGTGTGTGTGTGTGTGTGTGTGTGTGTGTGTGTGTGTGTGTGTGTGTACACGTGTTTTTGTGCAAGAAAGTGAGGTTGGTGGGTATGTTTGTGTGGAGGGGAGAGGGGGGTTATTTGACAGACAACTTGCCCATACACATGAATATTTTTAAGCAGTAATGAAACATTATGTGTTGGACCTGAAGGTTGCCTTGAAGCACCGGATTATGCGTCAATCTGTGGAACTCTTTTGCCACTTTGCCACATATGTTACACCCAAAACCCTATTTGTTTTAATTCCCCTCACATTTTCAGAACTATTTCTTTCTTTTCTGGCTTTAGTGATTCCACTCGTAAGCCAACAAGTATTGATTGAGGCTGTTATATTAGTCATGACAAAGCTGTTTAATGGGAGATTCCTTTATCCATATGAAAGTCAGAAGGGAGGCAGGAAAGAGGTTAATCCTATTTGCTAAAGAGGGTAGTTGATGTTCCATTCATTAAAACTAGTTGTAGCCGTAATTACACTCAACGTGACGGTGATGGCAAGGTTGTGTAACTTTATAGGATTTCTGCTCCCTCCCATTATTAAAAGTTATTTTAGAAGCCCACTTTCTAAAGTAACTTGAAAATAACCGAGATAGAGAGGAGCATAATGCATGTCAGACAGCCATACAAGTCACGATTGCAAATCTTTATTTTCCTTACTATGGAACCATTTTCTTCAAGTGCAATTTGCCTGTCAAGTGAGCCACAACTTATCAGTGTTTGCTCTTTACTTAATACATACGTTTTTAAAGGGCGGATCACACAAGTGATGGGCATGCTCTTTCCTGGCCTGCAGAGAACATGCGTGTTTAGTTTGAAAATGAATATCTATGGTAGCAGGTGGCCATGCTGGGCTGCTCTTATTATAATATTTCCAGGAGAGCTGGCTAAAGTTAGTGCACTAAATGATAAAGTATGACTACTTTGTTTATTCATTTCTATTTTTTATTTATTTTTTTTTTTCCATTTAATTTTCAGATGAGTTCTGTCAAACTCCTACGACCGCGTCTCAACGGCATTCTGTTCAAACTGACATTTGAGGAGCAGGTGAATAACATTCGGCCAGACATCATGAATGTGACATTTGCCTGCGAGGAGGTGAAGAAGAGTGAAAGCTTATGCAAACTCCTGGAGCTGGTGTTGCTGGTTGGCAATTACATGAATGCCGGCTCAAGGAATGCCCAGACGTTTGGTTTCAACATGAGCTTTCTCTGCAAGGTAACACGCCACCCCGCCGCACAACCCAGATGAACACCGTGTTGTGAAAATGTCTGAAACACGAACTGACATTAACATACAAGTAAAAAAAAAAAAAAGGCGTAAATACATGCATTTATTTATACATTTGTTCATATCCGTTAGCGGCATCGCACAAATTAGGTTCAATCCAAGCCACAGGAGATCACAGAGAAGCCTCGGAGAAGTGTTGTAACACTCAGTTCAGGGTTGCAGGTGCATGAAGTAACATGAAAAGCAAATTTCATTTTTTTCTCATTATTGTTGAGTGCATATTTTTTTTGCAGGAAACATACGTCTGCATCTTCATACATGAATAATCTTCATAACTCCAACTAAATATACAAATCCACATAACCTTAATACATTTAGTGAAAACGTTCTCCACTATTTTTCAGATGTAATTGTGTCATGCTTTGAAAGTATACATAGATATGTAGGCATATAACTCTCAGTCAGACCTGTCGATAATAAAGACATGCTAACAAGAGTTGTCAGCTGCATGAGGAAAGGTGGTTTAACGAATGTAAACAGAATCTCATGATATTAATTTAGCCTCAAAGTACTTAACAGAGACTTGATCTTCTAAAATCTGCAGTACCTATCAAATGCAAAAACCATGATGAGGCGTGGAGCAGAGTGGAACTTGAGCCGGAAAAAGGCAGCAGCTGTGTCCACTGACAAAGCAAGCAAAGTGTTAGAGAGAGGACTGGCAGCCATGCAAACACAGCTATACTACGCACAGCCAAGCTCTTGTAGCAGACTTGTTCTGCTACTCTCTCTCTTTCTCTCTCAAACTTACATTCGGCAGGGAGTAGCGTGTCGCCATTCACATATTTTCATGTGAATTTGTTTAGCATTAGGAAATCTGAATGGAAACAGGAAAAATTAGATTAAACTTTCTCAATTGCGAAAAATAAGTTTTTACTCATGCTTGAGGTGGTTTTTGCCTATGTGGAAAAAGAGCTGACGAGCTAAATGGATTATGGAAATGCCTGAGCAGAATAAATTCAGACGTAGCAAACATTTAACTCATCTGTTTCTGCTGTGAGCTTCTTTTTAGGATATCTCCATAACATATGAATGCTTGTCTTTGTCTGCAGACAATATGAAATGTGGCCAATAGTAGCCGACATGAGAGAAAAATTAACCCAATTGAAACAAATTATTGAGACCTCTCTCGATCTTTCTCTCGTAGATATGAGGGACAAGGCGACTTGTTTTGTTTCCGGTTACTCTGTTTACTGGTGGTTTACAGCCTTTACCGCCAATTTATGAACACATTACACTGTAGCTAACATTTAAAAAGTTCCCTGACAATTGAATAGGAACATGACGAGTGAGGCTTTTCTTCACTGTGTTCTGAGAAAGACAAAGCTATGGTCATTTATGTCACTGTCAGGATCAGCATTGACCATATTGATCAGAGGATGATTTTCTGCAATATCGCGTAAGTGCATGTGTATAGTCTACATACATATTTGGACATATTTTCTGAGCAACCATATTTTTAAGACAACAGTGTATTTATCTTTTATTTTACATTGATTCGTTTTTTTAATTTTCCTAAATATTTGAAGATGACTTAAATAATTTTTCCCCCTAGCTCTCCACCAAACACTGAGACATAGCCTCATGCACTCAACGCTTAAAAAAAAGATGAGAATAATCACACCAAGTTCACCTACATGTTCAAAATTCTGTCATAGCAACTGCTCATAGACTACAGCTTGACACACCAGATGTAAACTCTAGGTATTTCAGCCCACCTTCTCCTCCCCAACCTCCATCAGCTGTTGCTGCATCTTGTGCTTAGTGCCGCCCAAAATGATTGTGATTGGTAAAAAGAAAAACAAACAAGCCAGAGTGATGATGCTGCCTTGAGCTAGACAATTCATTAATGCTGACACAGCGCTGTGGAGATATGTCGGGCTATGCAAGACTGCTTTCAGAAAAAAAAACAGGAATAGCTACAAAATCAACAGCATGTCAACAAATTAGGATTTTATTGTGAGCCAAAACATGACTTTGTTGTCCTGTCCCTTTCAAGTAGTTTTGGCAGTATGGTGCTTTGTAGCATAGGCAACAGTATTCGATGTCTTATCTAATTGATGATGAAGCTGATGCCTTCAAAGTGCTTCGAGAACTCGTGCTGGTGCTGAAGAAAGGGCAAGCTGCCCCCAACACTGCCTTAGATTGGCAATCAAGCTGTGGGGATACACAAATTGCAAAATCTATCTTTAAAGCAGCCTGTGTAAGATTTTGTGACACTTTTGGAGGCGTTATTCTCAAACTCCCTGCTGTTCAGAAGCAGTGCTACAATGGGTATAAGCATAAAAAACATCATGTGAAATAGATCAGTCATGTTACGTTAAAAAACACTCAACATGGGATTTTTTTTAATATGGAAGATCTAATTGTGAATGCCAAAAGCCACACTTAACACACATTATGAAGCCAGCCATCTTGCAGGTGTGAAAAGGGCTTCGGTACAGTGAATCCAGTGTGCCTTTCGTATTCCTGAAAGCTGACTGAATCAGTGTGGAGTGTCAGTGTAGAGCCTGGTAATGCCTCGGGAGGCTGATTGGGCCATTATAGATGGACAAAAAAAAAAGTCTGCTTTCTCACTTTAGTCAATCAAGTAAATGGCCCCCCGGGTGGCAGGTCTAGGGTACCTAATGGGCTCATCAGTGAGGAGGAGGTTGATGATGGGAATGAGCAACAAGGGGAAGAGCATAGGCTGACCCATCTTTGCGTTCCAACTTCAGCCCTCCACTACAGCCAAAATCTGTACCTGTTAGGCACTTGACTTGGAGTCATCTACTCAAATTTAGTTTGACTATGTCATCTGCTCTCAAAATGTCCACAGCACATGTGGGGATTTACAGTATATCACTATATGTCCCTTCTATTCACACAGCTCATTCTCAGCAGTGGCCTTGTGGTTTTTCCTGTTTACAGTATATACTATGTTCATTTTCTTCTTCTAATACAGCATAATATAAAACTATGAGCAAGTATACAATGTGTTTGCCCTTACCTGCTGCTCCATCTGCAGAAGTTAAATTGAGCAATCAAGGGCCGACGATTCTTCTGTTAGTATGAGTGCTCTATATTCCCACCGCCACTTCTTCTGTTAGTAGTTAATTATTGTGTTATTTATTTATATTCGATCTGGATATTCAAGTGGAAGTGAGTCTGCTTGTAATACCTTGCCGATCTAAATGATGAATATATTGGAATGCGTTGTGCTAACTAGTTAGGGATTTGAAATAACGCTACCTCAAGGCAATTTATGTTATGGAAGTTTGAATGATATCACTGTTCAGAATTTGCTTTTGGCAAAACACTAATGAAGAGGCATTTCCCATCTATTTCAAATGAGCAGACTTGTTTGAAGGAGTATGCATTTATTTACACTGCATCCAGCTCAGCCATTAAAACATAATGGGATAAGACACACAAGCTATTCAAGTAGAGCCTTCCAAAGCTTAGGAGCTCTGACAGTAAAAGCCTTTTTTTTCACGTTTGGCTTTTAGCACAAACTTGAAATGGCCAGGACAAGGGATGGACTAGGATTAATATCAGCCCTAGACTCTGACATGGACCAGCTCACTACCACCTGTGCACAGATACTCCACAGCCCCCGGCATAGTTCTCACGATACCGTGAAGGTGGATTGACTGAAATTCCTGATGTAAAATGGTGTGAAAATAGCATCAGCACCTTGGGTTTTATGTAGGATTCCCCCTGCCCTGACAAAGATACCCTTAGCTGAGTGTGTTATCTCAGTAAAGTACGTTTGAAGTCTCTTTGCTCCTGCCATATAAACTGGTCCTAAACAAATTTAAATTTAAAATACATGAAATTAAATTGTGATTACCCAACGTGAGCAAAAGATTGATCCTCATCTAATGAAAGTATGTGTGTTTTTGTGTTGGTGTGTGACCGTATGCCTCCGACTGCCTGTAATTGTTCCAATTCACGATTGCCTATATGTGTGTGTAAGTGTGCGTACACACGTGTTTGCACGTTCTCATATGTGGGCATGTCCAAATGCAGGCAGTTTACAGTGAGGATATTATCAATTGGAGTACACAGAGGTGGCTTGTGATAATTAGTTTACCCAGCATGCCATTCGAACAGCATGGCAATCACGGTGGGGAATGAATATGAAGCAAGTTTGATGTGGAGACTCCGGCTTCTGTGTATGAACACATGCATGCACACACACAGATACTTGGCAAACACAGTACAGTACTTTCATTCAGACTTCCGTGCCACACTGTTTTATTCTCATGGGTGCACCATCATTTTATGTGTGTATGCACTGTACGGTATATGAGCGTTTGCGTTTCTCGAGCCATCTGTCTTTGGAATGCGAAAGTATGTTGTGTTTCATAATGCATTTTTATTTGATGAAGTCTTCATCTACTGTGTCTCTATCCAGTTCCTCTTTTGATACTGGAGATTGACTCATTATCTTGATGGCCATGTACCCACAAGAGCATAAACAGACTTTGTACTTCACATCCTTATGATTAAGGTGCATACATAATGGCTGTGGTTGCAAAAAGTACATTAAACGCATAAATGAGTGTAAAAAAAATTATTTTCTTTAAATAAAATATTTTCTTGTGGTTTTTTTTTGTTTTTTTTTAGCTACGAGACACTAAATCCATCAGTCAGAATACAACACTTCTTCATTTCCTCGCCGAGAAGTGTGAAGAGAGTCACCAAGAGATTTTGAGGTTTCCAGATGAACTGGAGCATGTGGAGAGTGCCAGCAAAGGTATGTCTCCATGTCTTTATGTATCGAGGTCGGTGCATATCAAAATACTCACACATACATTATATAAGCACCGACATCATCTGGTAATGAATGTAGCCTGTACTTAAGGACTTTACTGTGATATATCAGTAAATGCATTGCTCTAGTCTATATTCATTCATTTATCTTATCAACATATTTTCACCCTTTACTTATCTATTTCCTCCCTTCACGGCAGCTAGCACTCTCTCTCTTTGTGACAGGAATAGAGTTGTTTGTGTGACCACACTGTCATTCAGCCTGTCAATAAAACTAATTCCACTTTAAATCTATTCCCAGGAATTTGGTGGATTCCCTGAAGGCTTATTTACTTTGTTAGCCTCGTAATTGGTTATTTAATCTAATTCAACTAATTATGCACTTGACTAAGGCTGCCAGCCATTGTGTAAGTGGAATGAATAGTCTCATGCGCCATATATATTTAGATGTCTATATTCGCAAATTTTGAATTATATCAATTTGTCATTTCATGGAAATGATTTATTCAAGAAGATGCCAGTTAACTGACTGAGGACTCAGGAACTATTCGAGGAGCAGGGCCTGAGCACACCAAACCTCTCTTGTTTCATTGAACATCACATACAATTAAACATGGTTTCAGTAGGAAACTGTAACAGTGAAGGAGACCTCCTGTTTACATTGTGAGACACAAAAAGTGCAAACATGCTAACATGTCAATTAGAGGAAGGGTTGCTATGTTTGAATAGGCCAGATATGTCTTTGTTTAATATATCTGCACCCTTTTCAAATATCTTTCTCTTATTTTGTACCATTAAGACATTTTGTTTGTATAACTTATGTGTTGTTTTAGTTGCTATATTGTACGGTGTCCTTTGCATGTTGAAGCTAGTTAAATGAGAAAACCTTAAATCTCTGCTGACGAGCCTCTAAAAATCTATTTCATCAGATTTACTTTGAGGCAGAAAGGAACACAGTGACCAGAAGCCAGGTGCGGGCCGACTCCATGTCTTTGAAAAGCTTTTTACTGCCTGTAGAAACAGTAGAGCATCATTTAATTATTCACCACTATCTTCAGATCCTCTGCAAGCTTTTGGTTTCGTGTCAGGTAAACTGGCTAAGGAAAACTAAACAAAGCTTCCTTTCCTTCTGAAAGTTATGGTAGGCAATTTATTTACATTCTCTTTACATCGTGAAAGCAATGAATGAATGAAATGCTCATAAAGAAAAGAAAATAATCTGCTCCATGTGTCTGACGCAGGCCTGTAATAAGCCCGTCCAGGCATTTCGTTCAGCCCGTATGAAATGATTTGATGGTCTACCTGCTTGTCCGTCTCTACCCGAAGTCTTCCACAAGGCGAGGGGGGACAAACATTTCCCGATACCAATATACGAGCTTGACAGCGGTGAGAACTAACAATAGCGATGATTGTTGTTTAAGTTCACTACGATAATGTTAGGTGTTTTCTTACGTGTGAATAAAACATAAGGTAGTTGTATATGGTTAGCCATGACAAACAATGTGCTGCGCTCCTCATCCCCGCGCTCTCAGCAGTAGTCAGGCAGTTTGCTCTCATGTGTTCTCGGGGAGTGGCTGTGGAGGGAGGCCTGGAGGGCTGGGATTTTTTATTTATTTGGATACTTTAAATTCTAGCTCGCACTTGCTGGTTTGCCTAAAGTTGCCTATCACTGCTTTGACAATTTACACCAAAAGACTGCTTGTATGATAGCCTCCTCTCCTCTTTTTTGAAGTTCTAACATTAGTCTCATACCTCAACCCCCTTTTACTTTGTTTTTTACTCTCTAATGGAACAGTTTTCCTCTAACATACTGCATAGTGACTTGAATGACTGGAATGTCTTTAATGCCGTAACATTATTTAGTTATATAGCTACAGTTTGAAAAATCCTCATTGATTATTTGGAAACCTGGAAGCTGTTAGCATGGCAACAAACCCTCTTACTGAGCTTCATATTATAGCGATTATACACTACAATCAATGTCTGCACTTGCAGCAGATGAGTAAGTACATTATGTAACAACATAATACTTTTACATCAAAAACAAATATATCACATATAAGACATAAAGTTGACAGTAAAACCTTTGTCTTCTCATTGGTGAAGGACTAAATAAATATTATCATAGTGTTTTGCATACTTGAGTAATACATCTTTTGAGAACAAACCCGTGAATAGCATGTTACCTGAGAGTTATTTCTTATTGTTGGATGTCAAGAGAGGGATTAGAATGGAATCAAATGGCCACATATAATGGTTGGAGCGTGTACAATTATTGTGTTCATTGATAAGTGCAATCAGGCCTTTGTGATTTACCAAGGAAATCATAATTTGCCTTTCCTTGATTGGCTGCTTCAGACATTCACTCATATAGTGCACAGTTTCTCTAAGAAATTGGATTGCCACGTCAATCACTTTCGTCTGGATTTCACCGACATTCAAAACGGTGTACATTTTTTTCCTACAGTAATTCTAAAATGTGAAAATGTATTATACGGTAGACCTGTTCGTATTTCAATGAATGATTTGTGTTAATTGCATAATTGATCATTCCATTTTTTTGCATTGTGGATACATGTCTTTATTGAGCAGAAAATAACTGTTTATGTTGTAAAATAAATATACTCGGATATTCATTCAACTTTTAGCAGCTTAAAATGTTCTCACAACCAAACGAAATGAAGACCTAAATTGAAAACGTGTAAGTTTGTCTAAAAACACGTATGTTTTTGTTTTTATACCTTAGCACCACGAACTGCAATTTGACTGGTTAGCAGAGGCACACAACAGCAAAGCCCAAATTCTAGTTTTACTCTCAAACTGTTAGCATAAAGACAGAATTTTATGAAATCGACCACATTAATTGTAGGCGCTAATTAAATTAAATGATTATCTGATCTCTGTTATATTACTATGTGGGCATAAATGCTTTACAATTAGGTTTTTCTGTATCACAGGAGCCTCTCAGCACCCATATCGCCCCATTACCATACTAAACCATCCTTCCAGACTCAGTACAGTCACGAAATCACCAAATGAGAATAACTACTTGTTTATTTGATGTGAACTGTATTTCACAAAGATAATTTGCATGCAATCTACCCATTCTTGTCCACGGCACTAGTGGAGGCGTTTTTTAGGTTTTCTGTTAAAAAATAGAGCAAAAGATTGGAGGGAACAAATTAAGTAATTATCCTGGAACTATTGTACTATAATACTCCTTTATAATCATTAGCTGTGGACAAAGTGCCCGTCAAAGTAATGTAATGTAGCGAGGTCTTGTTCGATATATTGTAGAGCAGCACTTTGCTTTCACTTCCTCTGATCTGGTCCTCTTGCTTGTGTCAATGCCTTCCCATCTTAATTACCTTCATCAAGGAAGGTTGTTAGCAGCATATTTAAAAAAAAATTATGAAATACTTAAACGGTCTTCATGAAATGTGTTGAAAAGTTTGGCCATGGGCGAAGGAACACTGATTCATTTTCTATGCGTTTTGCACCACCATCGTTGCCACTGAAAAAGCACTTAGCTTGCTGTGACGACTCCTGTAGGCCGACTGCAGATTGGTTGATTATACGACTGCATCACTATATAATTGTCTTTTTGTATATTTGTATGCAAATCAGGACCCACAAGCAATTTAATTTAATATTTTGATAAACGTGCAGCCTCTGTCAATGTGTTTGATCTCTAAACACTTTCTCGTTTAATGTCAACACACAACAAATACAAACAGTAGCAGCAGCAGCAAAACGTGCTCCTTTTAAATCCATGTAGAGTTGTTTCAATGTTCTTTACCTTGCAGACAAACACATTGTGTGTCTTGAGAATGGCAGTGCTTCTAAATGCATTGGTTGTGGAACCCGTATAACAGACAAGGACATGTCAGTATTTTTAACCAGCATCTCCAGAAGCACATTTCTCTCTACCTGCTAAAGAGACACCACCGTCATTCAGGCACTCGACATATTTTTTAAATCGATAGAGCTTGTGGAGAGAAGAGATTATTATATAACATGAAGCTTACTGAATTATATGCGTTGCACAGTACAATATTTAACCTTGATACTGAGTACTGTATCGAGTTTAATCTTGACACCACTGCAACCATTTTTTTTCCCATAAATGGAAAAGTCCAGATAAAATGTATCAACACTGACAGCACCATATGTTTAATAGAGGTAGTCAAGTAGTAATACAATATAATACAGAGCTGAATGGATTAGGTCATTTGTAAGAAGTTGTGAAAGCCTATGGCGGCGGAAAGTTTGAAGCAGTATATCTCCAATTGTTTGTACTAATCTGAAGGTTGATATTGAACATCGAGTCCCTTGGATAGGAGCAAAGGCTTAACGTATTCTACTCTAGCCCATGCACATGCAAACATTTAATGCAGGATGAATTTGGCAATCTTTATTCATATATTGTCCTTTTTTTGAAAACATCGAGGTTGTCGCCTAAAAGATCCTTCGCCACATTCAATCTATTGACTTCCTTTATGATACGGATTCTGCTTTTATCATTGGCTTTGTGTCCGGACTACTAGCACATTTCACTGTGAGCTCCATCTCTGTCTGTACAGATGATTGGTAACCTCTTCTGCCACCATGTCATTGTTCATCTCTACTGATAAATCGCTCTGAGGGATGATGGATTTGAAGGAGGTCTGGATAGCTTAAAGGGGTGAAGACCTCCTCATTGGAAATTAAATTAATTTAAATGTATTCTTCCTATTCTGCCCCCCAGAATGACAGCACGCTGTCACCACTGCCAGCTTTAGTTTGTGAAGATATACAGTAAATCCTTCATTTGCCTTCAGTAATTATTGTAGCGTGGCACAGAAAGGTTCAGTTGCACTACAATGTACTCCATATAGGACTAAGTGGATTTTCACAATACTGGTAGATGTTACCATTCTTTGATTACCATTGTGCCATGAAAACGCGAGCCATTATATTACTTATTCATTTACATTATTCTTT